TTCGAACAGACATTCACCTTTTTCGACGACTATGGCAGCCACCTGACTTTTACTTTCGCTTTTGTTTTACTGATGTTCTTCACGTGATGCAGAGAAAAGGAGCTTTCTAACTAAATCCACGTATGTTCTACCAAGGGGTTAGCATAGAAGGAGGGAAGGTTCAACTCAAACGGTGAAGTGGGGCCATGTACTGTTATCACAGTGGACTTGTGCAAGAAGTCTGTAATTGTAACTTTTTTTCCCCCTTTTCTTTTGGAAGCAGTCAGCTTATATTGAATGGATGCACAAATAGATTTTCCAAAATATTCCTGGGATTACTGTTTACTCGTAAGTATTGATTTTTTTTTTGTGTGTGTGTGTAATTTCATAAATTGTTAAAAAATATCACAATGTCATGTTGTTTTCTTTTCAGATGTGAAAAAAAAAGACTTATAATAATCGAAACATGTTAAATACACTTAATGTTTTTGCTTACAGCTGTATCTCGTTTCCTTACATTAATGATATGTGCTAGTAATTTAAACTGTAATGATTTGAACGCTTAGGTAAATAGTTTCTAATTTTCATGAAAGTAAAAACAATTGTTACTATTTTATCATTGTAAATTGTTAATAAAGCACGCTTCTTATGCATTAATTATTATTCATTTTTAAGTTTTGTGACTGTTTACGAATATATTTGTGCATTTGTCGAGATAAACTGTTTCAGTTGTTAAAATGTTTTTGCATAAGCTTACAATTTCTGGGCATATTGGATAAACGTAAGTAAAATATTTACACAATTGAACATGGGAAAAGATTATCCAAAAATTATTAGGTACATTTCTGTAATTCAGCTTAATTCAGGGTATTTCTTTGAGATTTATAAATATGAAACGCGCATAAGTGAAATCATTGAATTCACATAAATAGTTTTTTATTAATTTATTTGCTTGTTTATATAAGGTTGTTGTGGAAAAAAAATCTATTTAAAACATTCATTTAAAAAAAGCAACATGTTACCATTTTTTTAGATAATTATCTGCTATTAATTTCAGGTAAAAATTATTCTAAGTGATTCTTTAATAAATTGTAATAATATTGCGAATAAATCAGAAATATCACTTCTTAAAGAAACAATTGGAAAGCACTCAAAATGATAATAAAACCTATACAATTTTAGTTATGCAGAAACATCATTTATTTCGAACTATTTCTTAATGATTTTCTGTACTTAGTAAATAAGGATATCAATCTTTATAACTTTTAAAAAAAAAACTAACAATAGCGAAGCATTTCATTATAAATTTAAGATATTTTTACTAAAAATCCCTGCATTTACAGCTAAGAACACGTACGTTTCATACCGTATGCAAATGTTTTGAAGTTACAAACATGGACGCCGCTTGTTCCGTGGAGCTTCATTCCCCGATAGTGGAGGAAACTGCGAACCCTCCCTCCTTCTATTCTAACCTCCTTGGTTCTTACTAGTAGTAGTCCTTGCTAATGCTTGCTGACATGTTTTACGTTATGAAATGAAATGAAGTCATCGTGTCCAAAGAACTTATTTGTTTACTTAATTTTTTCGAATGATTTTTATTGTTGATGAAGTGTTGAAATACAGTTTTAATAAAGTTGAAACTAGACGTCTTTTTAATGAAGATTTATGTTATCGGAAAGATTCTTTTTTCACTTTGAAGTTTTGAACGCTATTAATTCTTAAGGAGTGAATTTATAAAGGTTTAGAGTGAATGCTCAAAGATGTTGTCTGAAGTATTCTATTTATTTATTATAAGGTGAGTTATAGTTCTGTTATAATATTTTTATCTCTTTAGCAATGAACTCCGCTGGTGTTCGTTTAGAAACGATAATAACTATGTATATACGAAATTCGGGGAAAAATACGAAGATAACATCGCTTCGAAAGCACGGTGGTTTTGGATACGTTAAGAAATTTCTGTTTTACTACTCTTTTGTTCATAATTAAGTTAATGTCTATCAATTTAGTTATTGAAATGGTGAACAAATTACCAGTGAATACGTAATGTAAATGAAATTAGGTGAACATTTAGAAGGACCAGTATTGTTTTACTTTGGTGAACGTAAGTCTACAGATTTCCATTGGTGTAATACAAAAGAATCATGAAGTTTTTCCTTGGGGAGAAAAAAGTGTACTAGTAATCTGTTTTTTATAATTACGCTGTTGACTTAACGAGGTGACCTTAAAAAAATGTAATGTTCTTTTACTTACGAGGAGACAATGTACGAATAGAATACATAGAAGAAAATGTAATTTATATTTTAACTATATAATTATGTTATTATAATTTTCGGGTTTTCTTCCGCAAAAGGTATTCTTGATTTCTCTATCTGTCATTCTTTCTTTAACACATGCATGTGGCTGCATTGGAAACAGAGTATATTTCATTTAATTTGTTGACTGTAGGGGGAACTTTACTAGATACCTATTCAGTGAATTACTGCTAACAAATTAACGTGCTATAATGATGCTTTCCTGCAGTAAAAAAAGTTATTAGTTTATTGGAAAAAAAATATTTATAAGATACCTATTTGCTGTAGATAGATTTGCATATTTTTTGTGTTGTATGTTTTGTGCTAACTAAAATCCTTAAGAATGACTTTTATGTTTTGATGATGCATTGCATTTTCTGTATCCCCAGTCTTACGTTAGTGATTTGTTAAAACAGATGTGTATAATCCAGTGTTGTGTCCTATGCCAGTTGCTTCAAACTGTTCTTTGTGGTTTGTAATGTGTCAGATTGCTGCAACATGCCGGAAAATTACTGACTTTGCATTACAAAAACAGAGTCATATAACCAGACTGCTATAAAAGCAACATTTAAAAAAATGATATGCCTCTTCAGCACCTAACTTAGAAATAAAACTTTTGGTTGGATCCTAGCAGAGCCCACACCCATGGAGCGCCCACTTATATGGCACGTATCGATGTGCACAAGGACAAAGTCAAGGGAGTGTGTAATGACAAGTTTGTGCAATTTTGGGATGTTTTTGTAAGTGAAAATAGGTCGATGTGTACATGGGAACCGAGTTTGTGCAATTTTTTTTACTTCTTACTTTCAAGCTTGCGATTTTGAGAAACTCACAAAGCAGTGGGTGATTCTGAACTTTTCCAGTTTGTCACCAAGGGTGTGTGTGGGCTCTCCTAGGATTTTACCAAACTTTTTTTTTTGTGGATGTATTCTTGGCCTTCTAATAGCTGAGTAGATAAAAGCGCCGATATTTTGACCTAGATTCAGATCCCAGTGAATGTCCTGACTGAAAGGTATTTTTATTTTTCTCCCCATTTGTGTAATGTGAATGAGAGCCATTTTTCTTATATAACTCTCCACAAGGGCTTCCCTTTTTTTAAATAGGTGTTGCATGTTTTAGTGTCCTCAAGTACGGTGCATACTCATGTTTTATCATAATCAAATTCAAAATTTACAATAACAAAACTGTTAATGCTGATTTGGTTAATCGGTTGATCTTTACATTATGGTAACTTGGCGATTTTTTGGCGAAAATTTGACAACCAACTCTCCTACAGCAACCCTCTATTTTTTTTCCCCGCCGCCATTTTCTCTTCACGAAGTAAAGACATGTTTCTTTTCTTTTTATCTACTGAACACTTCTTCCAACAATCTAGTAGCCGAATTACACTTATGCTAGAAATTTTATCAAACAAAACTGCTTAATCATGACAAATATTCACTGCAAAATTGGGAAAAAGTGCACAATACCATACTCCTTACGCGTTTCAAAATAACACATACACATAAACCATGTACACGCCGACTTATTTTTACTTAAAAAAACATCCCAGAATTGCACAAAAATGGCATTGCGCACACTCTTCACTATATCCATGTACACTGCTTTTTTCTCATAAATTAGAAAAATTTCACGAAAATACATGACAATTTTCTCAATCTTTAAACCCGGGTAAAAACGAACACATATGAAATTACCTGATCGCGAAAAGTATTTACCCTTTACAAATATGAACATTTCCACATATAAAATAAACAAAATATCGAAAAAAACTTTTACTCTAAATCATCTATTACATTATACACATCACCAACAAATTCATACTGCAAGCATTACAAATACTTAGTATCAAAATATTTAAATTATTTCCATGCACGTTTATTTCAACTTAAACGTATACCAAATTCCTACAAACATAAAATTCACAAAATAACTATCATTTCATTAAAATATAATTAAAATTCAAAACACTACTTAAAATATAAATGAGCACATACATTAAATTAATAAAAATTACCTTACAATCCTAATTACTTAAACTAAATCATTGCTAATAACAATTTTCCCAATAATACCAAATTCCTTTCCACCTTACATTTAGAACAATGCATAAAAATAATATCCTCAAGTAATTAAAAATACTAACTTGCCTAATCTTCTTCAGAATCTTGATTACGTGCCGGATACACTTTTCTAATTCATTCATAAAACTATTGAAAGATTTTTTTCTGCGAATTTTTCCTCCTACTTCCTCCGCTAAAAAAAGCAAACTTCTCTTTATCACAATGCCCTAAATACCCATTTCGAATTCACTTTAGTTAGGGCCATGGGATCCAAAATTAAACAACACTGTTTTCACACAACACAGAAATAAAGCTAAATACAAAATTTCCACATTTTTTCCTGATTTCCCCCCTTTTCCGATTAAAGAACCATAATTCGTCCATTAATATCACATGACATATCCCATGATCTCTCATTTCCCTCACGCAAAATAATGCGTAATCAGAACTGAGTACTGCTCACATTATTACCAAAGTCCCAGGTAGTAACCTTTATCGCCTCCAAAATGTCGCCAAACTACCAGTTACCATATTGTAAAGATCAACCGGTTAATCTTTAGATTATGGTAACTTGGCGAAAATTTGGCGACCAACCCTGCTACAGCAACCTGCTAGTTTTTGTTTGGACGCCATTTTGTTTTCGCGAAATAAAGGCTTTTTTTTTTTTTTTCAACATTTTTTTCCAACAATCTGTTAGCCAAATTACGCTTAAGCTAGAACTTTTGTGGAACAAAAGTGCTTAATCATGACGAAGATTAGGTCCGAAATTGGGAGAAAGTGCAGAATCGCAAACTGCTTGCCACGTTTTTAAGAATTGCACATACACGGCATCCATGTACACGTCGACTTATTTTCACTTTAAAAAAAATCCCAGAATTGCACAAAAATGGCATTGCGCACACTCTTGACTTTATCTATGTACACATCAACCTATTTTCACTTAAAAAGTCAAAGAAAATTGACAAAATTCCCATTTTTCTTACTCTTGTAAAAAGCGCGAAACAAATAAGTGGGTGATTCTGCACTTTAGCAGCGAAATTGTTTCTAAGTGCTTATTAGCTAAAATCACAGTCGGAATTTTCCGGAAAATGTCACATTACATGTCTCATGATCTCTCATTTCTCTGAGACAAAATAATCTGCGATTCGAACTGTGTACTTCTCAGATTATTGCTAAAGTCCTAGCTAGTAACCTTTATCACCTTACCAAAATGTCGCCAAACTACCTGTTACCATATTCTAAAGATTAGCCAAAAATTGCTCCACAAAATCCTATCAAGTTATGTTTAGTCAGCGGTTTTGTCATGGAATCAGCCAGATTATCTTTGCTTGGAACATATTTTAGATAAAAAATTTCCCTGTTCAGTAGATCACAAAAAATGAATAGCTTTACATCTATATGTTTTGTCCTTGAGTTTTCAATGGGTGATTTTGTAAAACTTACAGCAGCCATGTTATCTGCAAACAATATAGGTTTTGAAACATAGTTACTTGCAATTTAAACTGAATGCATTCATCCAAAATGTTTTTAAACCAAAACTAATTCTTTTGCTGATTCAGTTCATGGAAATAAATTCAGCCTCCATAGTAGACACACTCACTGTCCTTTCTTTAAATGTATGCCAAGATACAGGTGATTCTCCCAAAAAAGCTATTTGTCTGCCAATAGACACCATATCATCTCTGCTTGAAGCAAAATCTGAATATATATATTAGCTTGCATACGAGTTTAAGTTTGTAGCGTCTGGTATTGGAAACGTATCCCAAAAGTTTAAGTAATCCTTCCCAGTGAAACTTACCAGGATTGCTTTGAAACTGAGAAAATATATTAACAGCATAGGCCTATATCCGGACGAGTACGATTGCAAAGAAACGAGAGGCATCCTAAAACATTTCTATAAGGATAATTTATCATCTTCAGTCGTTTCTTCTTGTGTACAGGGACTTTGAGTATTTCACACCTTTAACTATTGGGAAGGGAAGTAAGTAATTTGTATTTTAAAAGACTTTAATCGATTAACTATGTCTTCTATATATAATTGCTGATGAATGAGGACACTATTATTCTCATATTCAAATTTCACACCCAAGAGCTTTCTTGTTTTACCCAAAATTTTCAAATCAAAATGTGAACTCAGGACTTTTAATATCCTTTTAGCCTGAACTTCACTTTTTCCAAACACAAACATATGATCAATCATAAACCAACAGAATGACAAAATCTTTAAAATTCGATAGACACAATTACACCATCAAACTTGGTAAACCCTAGGTTACATAGTGTTTTATCTAACTCTTAGTACCATAATCGTCCACTCTGATGCAGACCATACAAGGCCCTATCTAAACAACACACAGAAGTTTCTTTATCTCGCTCTACAAAACCCTGAGGTTGGGACATGTAAATTTCCTCAGATAAAGGAGCATAGAGATAGGCACTTT